TAATTGTGTACTATGACTTGGTCAGTGCATGCAATAATCATGTACTATTAGCAATATTTGATCAGTGCTGGTAATAATTGTGTACTGCAAGTTATATTTGGTTAGTGCTGGTTATAGTTCAGTCATATATGGTTAGTACTGATTTATAGTACTGCAATTCATATTAAGCTATTGTTGATAATAGCACTGCAAGCTATAATTGGATAGTGCGATTAATAATCAAGTGATATTTGGTTAGTGCTAGTAATAATCAAGTGATATTTGGTTAGTGCTAGTAATAACTATGTATTGACGGTTTATGTAATTTAATGCATTTAAATTTAATAATAGGGTTAGTGCAGGTAATATGCATCATAGCAAACATGCCATGCCATGCCATGCTTTATAAACATGCAACAATGGCTACTGGGGTAATTCATTACCAGTATAGCATACATTAATAGTGCACCGTACTGTGGATTATTACAGTGAAAACTACAGAGATTTTGTCATTAAGATTGCCCAGGATGTTGTAAAATTTGTTTGTTTCAAAATATTGACGATTGCCAGCAGACTTTTTTTTTTTTTACGTAACTGGAAATCAAATCTACGCACTATGTGTTTATGTACGACCAGGATACAATTTATTTACTGACAGACTTTGACTACAGTCGAGACATATATACGTGTAGAAGTAATGTAAAAAGTCTGTCGGTAATCAACAATATTTTGAAAAAAGGTATGCAATCAGTTGTTCTGATCTAACATTAAGTGCAATCTCTCTGTCAAAATCTTGGTGGGTTTTACTGTAAGGCACTGACAGCTTAGTCAGGTATTAGCTCAGTAGTCACTGTATTTCAAGTAATGAATGTCATGTAGGATGCAACGTATATGTCAAACATTGCAAGGAATATTTGCATGGGCCATGAACTGTGTTTTTTGACAATACAGAAATCTATATGATATTTACATGTACATATCCAGATGTCTAGGTGCTGTTCACATGTGCATAGCCTGAAGTTCTTAATATTTAACAAGTGTGTATTATTTACTTTATAAAACGATTCAAATTTCATGTAAAAATGTTTTTTTTTTTTAGACTTGTACATCGCATGGATGACAACATCATGATTATAGCATTTTAATAACATTTGAAAGGAAAGTCTAGTTTTATCACATTTTATAAAATGAGCCTGCATAATTATATCCATATTTTGAAAAAAAAAATTAATCAAGGCCAGCAGGCAATGGGAAATTATGTCCATTTGGTTCAAAAATATTCTGGCATTCAAATTGTCCACAAAGGTAAGCATCTTACATTGATTAAGAATACAAAGTAATTGTAAAAAATAAAGACAGTTCATGACCCCTGGCACCCACATAACAGGGAGACAACAAGAGGTAGAGCAAATCACTATACCTTCCCCAAACCTGAGACAAATCACCAACCGAAGCAAGCAGGATAACGTTATAATATATCGCTAATGCTGAAGGAGAGAACAAATCAACAGGTTAAGTTTATTATGACAAGATGACAGGTTTGAATCCACATTTTCATCTCACAGGAATAAAGATCAATACATACATTAATACCAAGCAGGTTTTATTTGAGTCAAAATCATGCCTTAATTAGTAGAAAATAATTTAGGTTGTGGTTGTTATAATAAATACCTTATGGGATTTTAGAATAAATACCCGATTTTAAAATAAATACCCGATTTTTGAATAAATACCCGATTTTTGAATAAATACCCGATTTTTGAATAAATATCCGATTTTTGAATAAATACCTGATTTTAGAATAAATACCTGATGTGATGTTGTGGTACTGTATTCAACTGATGTACATTACTTTATTTTGACTGTGAAATGCAAACAGTAAAGGGAATTCAAATACCGACACTCAAAACAACTGTAAACAGCTTTCATTTCAAATTCCCACAAAGAAAATCGCACCATTCTGTAGACGTGCAGATTTCACTGAGGTCTTTAAAACCATGTCAGTCACTTTTGGGTTTGTAATATAGATATGCTTTTAATAGAGCAAAAATGGTATAGATATTTCTAAAGTGTGTGGCAAAATCATTAATAATATAAACTGACCAACCAAATTTATCTTTACATTCAGTATTTGTAAATTGTTTGAAATCTGTTAAAATATTCATTCTATGGAGCTTTCCCATAATGTGGATGTTATATATACCATTCGTTATTTATACAATACTGACTAAACTAAATAATCAGACAAATTATCATACCCTTTACATTATATGCTAACTATGTCAAATTCACTGTGTTATAACCCAGAGCGAAATGCCAATGTAAAATGAGATACTTTGTGTGTACATTTATCTTGTGTACATTCTCATGTTGTAGCAAGTGCCTGTAACACCCTTGACAACGACGATACTACACATATATATATTTTGTAAATTTTAATTTGTGAGAACTACTTCTGATTTTGTCATTATGATTTATTGAAATCACTGTAAAAGTCAGGAAAACCAAATTTTGTACATGTAGTAGTGAACATTTCACTGGGATATTTAAGACAGTAAGTCACAGTGACTATTATGAAATTTCGTCCTCCACAAAAGCCTTCAAATTATCAAAGAGTGTCGTTTGAGAGTAAAAAAAATAATCAATTCACAGCTATATATACATTACACCGGAAGCTTCAATATAAAATGATTTTAGATTAAGCATAATAATTGATGGCATGTAATAATCTACATATATATATGCCTCTTTTGGTATGCACACAGTAGTTGGAAACTGTGTTGTTACAGGGAAGTATCTGGATATCTTGATAAAGGTGTGATATATATTGCCATCTAATACAATATAAATAATCAATAATACATATTATTATACATCTATCACCGTAACGCCATAAGTTACAGTCTGCCGTAATTTTGCGTTATTTTACGGGGTATTTTAATCCTACCATATAAGGAATGATTACGCGCGTAAACGTCCTCGAATAATAAAAACCGACATGGCAGCCCCAAAGGTTTGACCGGACTACACACAAAGAAGTTTGCTGATTCTGTTCTAAACTTTTTTGGATTTCGGCATTCCCATGATGTATCCTTGAAGGAAAAGATGTAGATTATTACGTGAATACCTCAAAGTATGCAGTAAGACAGCACACCGCGCATTGACCTCCGCTGCGCATTGGTCTATACTCCAGCTGTACCGTTTTCGTGCATACTTTGAGGTATTCTCGTAATAACCTCATATTACAGGACACCCATACGAGTCTTTTGATACTCGACATTCTAATTTACATTTCACCAGAGATACTATAAGCAACTAAATCTGTGAAGAGTAAATATGCACATATCGTGGTATTTGAACCTACTTTGAATTCTGTGCATTTGTCATCCATTGTCTGATTAAAGGTACTAAAAATCCACCAAGGAGTATCTGTGTAGGATGATATATCAATAGTGGTATAGAGATGTGTGATAAATGATCAAAACCGTGATAAATAATCTTCAACATTGGAATACCTATAGGCAGGAATCACCAGGTTAATATGGTTAGTATCAATAATAATTCACATGACATATGAAAGAATACTAAAATGACATTTGTCACAAACAATTATAACAAACAATATGAAAGAAAATTCTTAAATCTCATTAATTTTTTACATTGTACAACACAAACAGCATATCCTTTTGCCAGCGAGTCAATATTATTAGTCAACATCAGGCAGTAAATGCTGACAGTCAATACGAGGCAGTCACCCACATGCTGGTCAACAAACACCAGTCAGCCAATGCCATTAGCCAGCCAACTTCAGTAATCAATTACATACATTGCCCGAGAGCCCCTCCAAGCATGAGCAACAATCTCAACAGATGTTGTGTTGATATGCACAGGTAGACGGAACTGACTCTAATTAATCACATCCAACACTAGTGCATCAAAAAACGCATGCAAAACACAACAGCAATGCCTAGGTCATGCAATGTTTCATGAAAAAGAGCAGTGGTAAGATTTTGCATGACTCTGAAAGCTCGTATACAATAGTGACTAAAAGGGTAAAAAAATAGACACATAGAGGTTCTTGTGAAGCTCTCGTGAAAAAATTACAATCAGGAACTGAAACTCAATTTAATGCTTTCTATTAGATGACCAGGAAATTTAGAGTTTATATTGTCAATTGTCCAGACAACCACTTTTTTTTGTCATTAGGTAACCTTGGAAATACAAATGTAAATACAGAAGTTACACTCCTGTGTAGACCAGTGTAGTACTGATGGTAACTGCATTTCAAACAGATTTCTTCGTGCAGTTGAAAAACCAGATCCTGGTCACCAACAATTTAGATCTGGCTTTGACGTTTGCCAGAGTTGAATTATTTTGTTTTTATTGTACATTACTTTGTTTTTATCCGCTTGACTTCGTCGGCAGCGGAGCTAAAAATGCTGTTAGCCTATTAAGATATACAACTAAATGCCTTGCACTGCAGTAGAAACAGCTATAATTGCACCCTAGTTAGTCATTCCAACAACTTACCTAATGTGAGAGATTTGTGTGTTGCACAAAACATAATACACACTGTATCGGCTGGACTATATCCTAATCTTTCAATTCGAGATAGTAAAAATGTCAATAAAATTAAACCTAGTTGCAGAATGAGAACTGTAAATGACAAAAAGAAAATGCACAATAATTTAGAATTAGAATGGGTATATTTAGTTATTACAGGGTTTTGATTAGAATCAGGTACAGGTGTCTCTTGTTGACAGGATTTGTCAGCCAATTAGAGCATGCATTACTTAAATTCGTATGCTGCTCTAGAAAGTGTTTTGTAACACAAGTTTAGATTGGCTTCTGATCCCAGGAGACTTGAACATGATTTGTATAGACTTTTGCATTGTCACATCATACGTTTACATTTTTGACAACCAACATGCAAATGTCACTCACAATCTGCTGTGACAACGTATATACGAATGTGTTTTATCATTATTTTATCCCTGGGTGTCAATGGCCAATTCTGGCCAACCAATCACTGTGCACACGCAAGGGCGCAAAATGTAACAAAATGCAACAGACTATAAGTATAGTTGAAATACAAACAGACAAATTAATTGCGACGAGTTACATAAAAATTAAATAAGATTGTAATTGCAGGAAACAGTAAAATATAAATGAAAATGTCACACATGGGATGATCCATTGTATGTATGTGCCTCTTTACAGCATTATGCAAGACCCAAAATACCAGAATGTGTGACCAGGGATTGCGTTAACCCCATATTTGGCTTCCCGGACTCCAATTATTAAAGAGGGACCCAGTTTTTCAGGCAAGCTGGGGTCCAATCTCTAATAAAGTTAAAGGGTAAAATTTCAGTTTCATAAAATTTTGTAAGTGGGACATGTCTTGCTGAGACAATAGCGCAAACCCTGGTGTGACCTTTAGGGGTCATGCATAATGTAGATGGGGGGGGGGGGGGAGGGGGTTACTTACCAACACAAACTACACAAAGTAGATGAAACCGATCTAAATCTAAACTTGTACTTGAAAACGTTTCACAGAAAGTGGTATAGATTATTAGTAACAGCATACCACTACCAACTTGACCAAATGGTGGCTTGGTCCGTTCTAACCAGTCTTTTATAAAACGTCTGACAAACTAGAAAAAATACAAGTTGAGAAAATGAATTGATATTTTGTATCTAGTACATTGTAGTAAACTACTGGTATGTATAATAATGTATGGTACTAGTGTACATTAACCACT